CTGGGCCTTTTTTTCTCCACACATAGTGTTGTGTGTTCTTCCCAAACAACTCAATCTTGGTGTCATCTGTCCACAGTATATTCTGCCAGTAGTGCTGTGGAACATCCAGGTGCTCGTCTGCAAACTTCAAACGTGCTGCAATATTCTTTTTTGGACAGCAATGGCTTCCTCCGTGGTGTCCTCCCATGTACTCCATTCTTGTTTCATGTTTTCCTTATTGTAGATGTGTCAACAAAAATGTTAGCATGTGCCAGAGATTTCTGTAGGTGTTTAGCTGACACTCTGGGATTCTTCTTTACCTCATGCAGCATTCTGCACTGTGCTCTGCAGTCATTTTTACAGGACGACCACGCCTAGGGAGAGTAGCAACAGTGCTAAACTTTCTCCATTTGTAGACAGTCTGTCTTACCGTGGACACAGGAACATCAAGGCTCAAGGAGATACTTTTGTAACCCTTTCCAGCTTCATGCAAGTCAACAATTCTTGATTGTAGGTCTTCTGAGAGCTCTTTTCTGCGAGGCATGGTTCACATTAGACAGTGCTTGTTGAAACCAGTAAACCCAAAACAGGTGTCAGCAACACATCCAATATCATCACACTGATTGGAGTCAAGGTTGGCTCACTCCTGGCTTCAATTAGCTCTGGGAGAAGTCATTAAGCTAGGGCCTCACATACTTTTTCCTCCCTGCACTGTGAATGTTTACATGTTATGTGCAATTAAACCATGGCAACATCTAATGTTTGTGTAGTATTATGTTCAGCAGACTGTGTTCTTCTATTGTTGTGACTTAGATGACGTTCAGAGCACATTTTATGCCCAATTCATGCAAAACTCCACGTAATCCCAAGGGGTTCACATACTTTTTCTTGCAGCTGTAGATGACACATTGTGGTGGGGGGGGGGGGGGGGGCGCAGTGCATCTTCATCCTAGGCACTAGAAGATCTGGGCGTGGCCATCAGCATTGTTTCTGCTGTATCTTGTCAATCAGCACCTGGCCACCTCTAGCTCCGCCCACTGCTTTCTGCATTGGCTACACTGTCTCTGTGGAGGAGCCCCTCCCACGGTGAGCTGCAGTGCCAGGGAGGGGGAGCGTGAGTGTGAGAGACCAGTGAAGGCGGATTGGGCGCAGGGAGGAGGGCGGGAGTCCGTACATCACGCACCATCCGGATTCGTCCTCCCGCAGATGTCTTCCGTCGTATTTCAGTCCCTCTTCGGCTGTCTTTAGGATCGCCTGTTTTCTGATCATCTCCCGCTTGTCCTGAGAGGACCTTGGTGTGCCGCACTCGGGGGCCACGCTCACTCCTGATTTATTGAGCCGTGCCGCACTCGGGGGGCCCCGCTCACTCCTGATTTATTGAGCCGTGCCGCCGGTCCGACGCAACGCTGAGCCTTTAACTTACCGCTCCAGTCCATAAAATATACCTGGAATCTCTCAGCGGCGGGACGGGGAGCCGTAATTGGTTTTCGGAAATACGGCCACAGTTATCAGACGGAGGAAAGCCGGCCGGCGCGATGTGGACGGCGCCCAATCATAGCCGCCTGTCAGCGGGAATGTCGCGGAGGAACTGGGATTGACTGGAACAATGCTTGACAAGATTTAAAGGGGAACTCCTACCCAACGGCTCCATTGACTGGCCAACAGATGTGGAAAAGCAATTCTCCCTCTTTGGGAACTCTTCAGGTTGCCTTCAGCCGTCCGTCCATCACTGTGGGGAGGGCCAAAAGGAAATATTCGTGAATGAGGAAAATACCACACAATGACCTCTAGATGGCACTGACGAGTATAGGAAATCAGAATGCTCCTGAGTGCCATCTAGTGGGCATAATGTCTTATTTTCCAGATTCACACATTCAAATGGCGGAGAAAATAGCCGAAGAACTTCCATATTGCCCCGTTGTCACTGAGCGACCGACACTTTGTATTAGAAATATACCTCTTAGTGTCGTGTTCACCAGCATCAAACATCCAGTGTGCATGCACCTCATACCGCAATCAGCCCCAATGCATGCACCTCATACCGCAATCAGCCCCAATGCATGCACCTCATACCGCAATCAGCCCCAATGCATGCACCTCATACCGCAATCAGCCCCAATGCATGCACCTCATACCGCAATCAGCCCCAATGCATGCACCTCATACCGCAATCAGCCCCAATGCATGCACCTCATACCTCAATCAGCCCCAATGCATGCACCTCATACCTCAATCAGCTCCAATGCATGCACCTCATACCGCAATCAGCCCCAATGCATGCACCTCATACTTCAATCAGCACCAATGCATGCGCCTCATACCTCAATCAGCTCCAATGCATGCACCTCATACAGCAATCATCCTCAATGCATGCACCTCATACTTCAATCAGCACCAATGCATGCGCCTCATACCTCAATCAGCTCCAATGCATGCACCTCATACCGCAATCAGCCCCAATGCATGCACTTCACACCTCAGATCCCCCCAATGCATGCACTTCACACCTCAGATCAGTCCAATGCATGCACCTCATACCTCAGTCAGCCCCAATGCATGCACCTCATACCTCAATCAGCCCCAATGCATGCACCTCATACCGCAATCAGCCCCAATGCATGCACCTCATACCGCAATCAGCCCCAATGCATGCACCTCATACCGCAATCAGCCCCAATGCATGCACCTCATACCGCAGTCAGCCCCAATGCATGCACTCATACCTCAATCAGCCCCAATGCATGCACCTCATACCGCAATCAGCCCCAATGCATGCACCTCATACCGCAATCAGCCCCAATGCATGCACCTCATACCGCAATCAGCCCCAATGCATGCACCTCATACCGCAATCAGCCCCAATGCATGCGCCTCATACCTCAATCAGCCCCAATGCATGCACCTCATACCTCAATCAGCCCCAATGCATGCACCTCATACCTCAATCAGCCCCAATGCATGCACCTCATACCGCAATCAGCCCCAATGCATGCGCCTCATACCTCAATCAGCCCCAATGCATGCGCCTCATACCTCAGATCACCCCAATGCATGCGCCTCATACCGCAATCAGCCCCAATGCATGCGCCTCATACCTCAGATCACCCCAATGCATGCACCTCATACCGCAATCAGCCCCAATGCATGCACCTCATACCTCAGATCACCCCAATGCATGCACCTCATACCGCAATCAGCCCCAATGCATGCACCTCATACCTCAGATCACCCCAATGCATGCGCTTCATACCTCAGATCACCCCAATGCATGCACCTCATACCGCAATCAGCTCCAATGCATGCAGATCAGACTTGTGTCAGCCCCAGTGCAACAGACGACAAATCTGCCAGATCCCGACAATCGTTCCCTCTCTATCCCTGCGCTCTGCAGCTGAACGATGGAACTGCGAGAACTTTGTTTCATTTCTGGGAGCGGCGTATGGCGGGGAATACTGCGGGAGCACAATATGGAATATTTAAGTCCCTTCTCTATGTGGGGATTGAGGGGAGCTGTTTTGGGGGGGGGGGACCCTGTCAGGGGCCCCGTAATTTTTCATAGCGGCCCTCAGTCTTTTGGTGTTCCCAGATTATCAGGTTCACGCAGAATAACAGAGACTTCTATTTCTGTCTCTAATGTACCTTTTAGGCAAATGAAAAAAAAAAAGAACAATTCCTCCCGGTAATGACATCCGGCCCGATCCGTCCGTGGATATTGAACCGATGATGGAGTGGAGGGGGGGGGGGGGGGGGGGGGGTTCAAAAGTTTTGTATCTATTTATTTTAGGCCTAATGTAAGCTGGTCGGATCGCATTGTAGTCTGCGTCAGGAGCCAGGTACAGAGGACGCTCCCGCCTGCCTTCTAATGGGCTGCCAGACAGGGACGTAAATGGACTTATTGAACAGCAGCCAGAGGACATTCCGAGCGCCAGATAGAGAGACGCATTTAGGGGCCGTCATCGGACTCCTCTGCTTAGTTCTATTAACCCCATGCTGGCCGGAGCCCACCGGACCACGGACCACGGTACACACGGGAGCCCACCGGACCACGGACCACGGTACACACGGGAGCCCACCGGACCACGGTACACACGGGAGCCCACCGGACCACGGTACACACGGGAGCCCACCGGACCATGGACCACGGTACACACGGGAGCCCACCGGACCACGGACCACGGTACACACGGGAGCCCACCGGACCACGGACCACGGTACACACGGGAGCCCACCGGACCACGGACCACGGTACACATGGGAGCCCACCGGACCACGGTACACACGGGAGCCCACCGGACCACGGACCACGGTACACACGGGAGCCCACCGGACCACGGACCACGGTACACACGGGAGCCACCGGACCACGGACCACGGTACACACGGGAGCCCACCGGACCACGGACCACGGTACACACGGGGAGCCACGTGGAAGCCAGAGGCAGGAAGGAAGTGCTTTTATATATAGAAAAAAATATATATATTAGTAATAATAATATGGATAAATAATAACTCGCCCTCCGGAGGATTACCCCCCCCCCCCTCCTGACCGGGCCATTTTTTTGCGTTTCGGCGCCGCGTTACTTTACGCGGTCATGCAACGCCGCACCAAAATGAAATTTACGTCTTTTTCCCCCCATTAATAGAGCTTTCTTTCAGCTGTATTTGATCACATCTGCAGTTTTGTATTTTTTGCGCTATAAAACAAAAAAAGACAATTTTGAGAAAAAAAACTATATTTTGGACTTTTTGCTAGTAACCTCTACCAGGTACTTCGTCCCCTCCGTGCCCAGGCCAATTCTCAGCTTTCAGCGCTGTCACACTTTGAATGACAATTGCGCAGTCGTGCGACACTGCACCCATATGACATTTTTATACAATTTTTTTCACACGAATAGAGCTTTCTTTTGGAGGTATTTACTCGCCGCTGGGGGGGGGGGGGGGGGGTTATTTTTTGCGCTATAAACAAAAACAATTTGAAAAAAAAATTTTTTTTCTTTGTTTCTATTATAAAATTTTGCAAACAGGTAATTTTTTTCTTTCACTGATGTGCGTTGATGAGGCAGCACCAATGGGCACTGATAGGCAGCACTGATGGACACTGATTGTTGGGCTCATCTGAAGGCCACACCAAGTTTGGAGGTCTTTAGCTATTGACTCTGCAGACAGTTGGTGACTTCTGCGCACTGTGCGCTTCAGCATGCGCTGACCCCCGCCCTGTCATGTGACGTGGCCTACCACTTGGTGGCTGAGTGGCTGTTGTTCCCAGTTGCTTCCACTTTGTTATAATCCCACTAACAGTTGAGCGTGGAATATTTAGTAGCCAGGAAATGTCACGGATGGACTTATTGCCCAGGTGGCCACCTATCACGGGACCACGCTTGGAGTCACTGAGCTCCTGAGAGCGACCCATTCTTTCACCAATGTTTGTAGAAGCCGTCTGCATGCCTAGGGGCTTGATTGTATACACCTGTGTGCATGGAGGGGATTGGAACACCTGAATCACATGATATGGAGGGGATTGGAACACCTGAATCACATGATATGGAGGGGATTGGAACACCTGAATCACATTATATGGAGGGGATTGGAGCACCTGAATCACATGATATGGAGGGGATTGGAGCACCTGAATCACATGATTGGGAGGGGATTGGAACACCTGAATCACATGATTGGGAGGGGATTGGAACACCTGAATCACATGATTGGGAGGGGATTGGAGTACCTGAATCACATGATTGGGAGGGGATTGGAACACCTGAATCACATGATATGGAGGGGATTGGGACACCACAATCACATGATATGGAGGGGATTGGAACACCTGAATCACATGATATGGAGGGGATTGGAAAACCTGAATCACATGATTGGGAGGGGATTGGAACACCAGAATCACATGATAGGGAGGGGATTGGAACACCTGAATCACATGATTGGGATGGGATTGGAACACCTGAATCACGTGACTGGAGGGGATTGGAACACCTGAATCACATGATATGGAGGGGATTGTAACACCTGAATCACATGATATGGAGGGGATTGGAACACCTTAATCACATGATATGGAGGGGATTGGAACACCTGAATCACATGATTGGGAGGGGATTGGAACACCTGAATCACATGATATGGAGGTCGGGACAATACTTCTGGCAATATGGCAATATAGTGTGTATATACATATGTATGTATATAAATATATATATATATATATATATATATATGTGTATATATTCCTCCCCCTGACACCAATGATGGGGCACTATTCCTTCCACTGACACCAATGAAGGGGAACTATTCCTCCCACTGACACCAATGATGGGGCACTATTCCTCCCACTGACACCAATGATCGGGCACTATTCCTCTCAGTGACACCAACGATGGGACAATATTCCTCTCACTGACACCAATGATGGGGCACTATTCCTCTCAGTGACACCTATTATGGGGCACTATTCCTCCCCCTGACACCAATGATAGGGCACTATTCCTCTCAGTGACACCAACGATGGGACACTATTCCTCCCACTGACACCAATGATGGGGCACTATTCCTCCCACTGACACCAATGATGGGGCACTATTCCCCCACTGACACCAATGATGGGGCACTATTCCTCCCACTGACACCAATGATGGGGCACTATTCCCCCACTGACACCAATGATGGGGCACTATTCCTCCCACTGACACCAATGATGGGGCACTATTCCTCCCAATGACACCAGTGATGGGGCACTATTCCTCCCACTGACACCAATGATGGGGAACTATTCCTCTCAGTGACACCAATGAAGGGGCACTATTCCTCCCACTGACACCAATGATGGGCCACTATTCCTCCCACTGACACCAATGATGGGGCACTATTCCTCCCACAGACACCAATGATGGGGCACTATTCCTCCCACTGACACCAATGATGGGGCACTATTCCTCCCACTGACACCAATGATGGGACACTATTCCTCCCACTGACACCAATGAAGGGGCACTATTCCTCCCACTGATACCAATGATGGGGCACTATTCCTCCCACTGACACCAATGATGGGGCACTATTCCTCCCACTGACACCAATGATGGGGCACTATTCCTCCCACTGACACCAATGATGGGGCACTATTCCTCCCACTGACACCAATGATGGGGCACTATTCCTCCCACTGACACCAATGATGGGGCACTATTCCTCCCACTGACACCAACGATGGGACACTATTCCCCCCACTGACACCAATGATGGGGCACTATTCCTCCCACTGACACCAACGATGGGACACTATTCCTCCCACTGACACCAACGATGGGACACTATTCCCCCCCACTGAAGATGTGGCATTGTTTGCTCCCTCTGACACCAGGACATTTTCTACTCCCATTGACCACAGTCCGGCCCTCTACAGTCTGATGGGCAGTAAACTGGCCCCTTGTTTAGGAAGTCTGAGGCCCCCCCCCCTGCTTTAGCCGAATTATGAAACAAACTATCGACTGATACTGAATCCAGCAAATCTGTCATTGCGGCTCCCGTCCTCGGAGTTCTTCTTTTATCTCGGCTCAGATGGTCAATAATTAGGCGCTGCCTATCTTGCCGGAAGGACTCTTCATTTATATGGAAATAGACGGAAAAGCTGTTGCGGGAGCGGCGTGGAGGATGACGGGCTCCGCCGTAGACATGGCTCCGACGCCTCGCTGCTTGTACAGCAGACAACTGACATTCCAATTAGTTATAATTGAGAGGGGAACGGCGCTTTAGTGAATTTTAATGGCTCCGAGTGTCTTGTTAATGACTCTAAAGGCAGGGGCTCAAAAACTTGCCGCCAGGAAATGTTGTGTCAGCTCGCTGTAACAAGTGAGGACGCGAGGGCAGGACGGCGGCGACCGGAGAAGAACGCAGCTATCACCCTGCCGCGGCCGTCGGACGAGCGTCCTGAAAGGAGACGGCGTGCAAATTGAAACACGAAGGGAGAGAGACACTTATGTGAAATGCACCAGAGAAAATGGCGAGAAGCCGAGGGTGGAAGCTGCCCATCTCAGCCTATGTGAGCGACACCTCTGCCACAGGGGCGGACTGACCATTTGGAAACTCGGGCACTGCCGAGGGCCCGGGGTCAGTAGGGGGCCCCATGAGATGCCCCTGGTACCTTTCTCATAGGCTTTTTTGAGTTTGGGCAAGGACACAGGGGCCCCATGATCCCCTATTGCCCGGGGGCCCCATGAGTTGTCAGTCCGCCCCTGCTCTGCCATGAAACGGGCGTGCTTAAAGCAGAACTCCAGGCATAAAAAATTTCCATTTAAATATATTTCTTTATAGCTGCAAAGGTTATAAATCGGCCTGGTGTGCAGCAAACGCCTTTGCAAACCCAGATATCACTTGTAAAAGTAGCAGTGACATCATCACAGAGCTGTGGGAGGGATCTAGCAGGCACCACCAACTACAGAAAACTACAGGAGGGGGCGGAGATAAGACCAGTCACCCTGGACAAGGAGCGAGAGCAGAGCTGTGGGAGGGGCTAAACAGGCTCCACCAACTACAGATAACTACAGGAGGGGGTGGAGATAAGACCAGTCACCCTGGACAAGGAGCAAGAGCAGAGCTGTGGGAGGGGCTAACCGGCTCCACCAACTACAGATAACTACAGGAGGGGGAGGAGATGAGACCAGTCACCCTGGACAAGGAGCGAGAGCATAGCTGTGGGAGGGGCCAAACAGGCACCACCCACTACAAAAAACTACAGGAAGGGGCGGAGATAAGACCAGTCACCCTGGACAAGGAGCAAGAGCAGAGCTGTGGGAGGGGCTAACAGGCTCCACCAACTACAGATAACTACAGGAGGGGGAGGAGATGAGACCAGTCACCCGGGACAAGGAGCGAGAGCAGAACTGTGGGAGGGGCCCACCAGGCACCACCCACTACAAAAAAACTGCAGGAGGGGGCGGAGATAAGACCAGTCACCCTTGACAAGGAGCGAGAGCAGAGCTCTGGGAGGGGCCAAACAGGCACCACCCACTACAGAAAACTACAGGAGGGGGCAAAGATAAGACCAGTCACCCTGGACAAGGAGTGAGAGCAGAGCTGTGGGAGGGGTCCAACAGGCTCCACCTACTACAGGCTGCCTGCAGAAAATTACAGAAGGGGGCGGAGACAAGACCAGTCCTCCTGCACAAGGAGAGAGAGCAGCAGTGAGCGGTCTTTATTCCAGGAAGTCTCACACTGGATGATGGCTCAGATCTGGGAGAAATACACAAAGATTGCAGATACATGACCGATGGAATTAGATGACGCTTAGAGGTGGTGGGCAGGCGGCAGACATGAGACTAGTCAGATCCCTATAGAGGTGGTGGGCAGGCGGCAGACATGAGACTAGTCAGATCCCTATAGAGGTGGTGGGCAGGCGGCAGACATGAGACTAGTCAGATCCCTATAGAGGTGGTGGGCAGGCGGCAGACAAGAGACTAGTCAGGTCCCTATAGAGGTGGTGGGCAGGCGGCAGACAAGAGACTAGTCAGGTCCCTATAGAGATGGTGGGCAGGCGGCAGAGACAAGAGGCTAGTCAGGTCCCTATAGAGGTGGTGGGCAGGCGGCAGACAAGAGGCTAGTCAGGTCCAGATAGAGGTGGTGGGCAGGCGGCAGACAAGAAACTAGTCAGGGGCAGATAGAGGTGGTGGGCAGGCGGCAGACAAGAGACTAGTCAGGTCCCTATAGAGGTGGTGGGCAGACGGCAGACAAGAGACTAGTCAGGTCCCTATAGAGATGGTGGGCAGGCGGCAGACGAGAGACTAGTCAGATCCAGATAGAGGTGGTGGGCAGGCGGCAGACAAGAGACTAGTCAGGTCCCTATAGAGATGGTGGGCAGGCGGCAGGCGAGAGACTAGTCAGATCCAGATAGAGGTGGTGGGCAGGCGGCAGACAAGAGGCTAGTCAGGTCCAGATAGAGGTGGTGGGCAGGCGGCAGACAAGAGACTAGTCAGGTCCATATAGAGGTGGTGGGCAGGTGGCCGACAAGAGGCTAGTCAGGTCCAGATAGAGGTGGTGGGCAGGCGGCAGACAAGAGACTAGTCAGGTCCCTATAGAGGTGGTGGGCAGGCGGCAGACAAGAGACTAGTCAGGTCCCTATAGAGATGGTGGGCAGGCGGCAGACAAGAGACTAGTCAGGTCCAGATAGAGGTGGTGGGCAGGCGGCAGACAAGAGACTAGTCAGGTCCAGATAGAGGTGGTGGGCAGGCGTCATAGTAGTCATAGCTAGGCAGTGGTCATAGGCAGGCAACCAGCAAAAAAATAGTCAGGTTCAGGCAGAGGTTGTAGGCAGATGGCAGGCAAGAGGTTGTCAGGTCCAGGTAGAGGTTTTGGGCAGGCGGTGGGCAAGACAGTAGTCAGGCTAGTCCTGATCTTCAACACGCAAGGCAATATAGAGTATAGCTCTTTTGCACACAGGACAGCTGGAAATAGGACACAGGACTGACCACTGGAGCCAAAATACTCTTTTGGTCAGAAAAACCATAGAGAGTCATTTTAGGGGAAATCTGGGATTCTGCAAATCATGGGAAGTGTTCTTATGATGGTACTGAAGTGTTCTTATGATGGTGACAACACAGGAGCTGTTCCTATGCCAGTACTGAAAGAACGTGAAGACGGGGCACCTGGGTGTAGCACAGAAGGCGGTATAGTGGAATACATTGTACTGGTCAGAGCTGTTGATTATGTCAACAATCAGGTCAGTCAATATTGCTTCTGGCTGGTCTTTAGAAGATGGTCAAACCAATAAAAACTGCCTAATTCATGTGGTCATAGGGTCTATATTACCTCCATGTATTGGTGGTCCTTATTGAAGTCTTGAAGAATGTTCTCAACTCACTTCAAGTACCTGCCCCCCCCCCCCCCCTTTGTCGGGAGATCAGTAATATGGTCTCATTGTTATTACTGTTGAGTGGGTGCAATCTATGTATTCCACCTTACCTTCTGCACCCCACTACCCCAGGCACCCCAATTGTATTTCCATCAATAGCGGGATCTGACATACCACTTGGTGTAGAACTCATGAGACCTTAAGCAGTCACCGTTGACATTGTGTTGCATTCATTGCAAGCTATCCAGGATCACACTGGACACCTTGTCCTTGTAGAATATTAGCTCTCTGATCCCTTTTTTTTGCCAGGCCTTTTTCAGTA